CCCGCCCCCCATGCTCAGCACCAGATTGTAACCTGCCCCGTGCCAGCTCCGGGCTTGCCTGTTGGGGCTGTGCCATGATGGCAGCAGCTGCGGCCCCCCTGCTTGCTTCTCCGTGAAGTATTAGCTGCTGCTGCCCACCTGGAGGTCGCACACTGGGCAGCAGCAGCAAACACTGCCCAGTGCAGCAAGCGGCGGGGGGCCACAGCTATTGCCGCCGCCACATCACAGCCCTGACTGGTGAGCCTGGAGCTGGCCTGGGGCCCAGGCTGGTAGCGGGGGCAGGTTACAAGCTGGTGTTGAGCACGGGGGGGAAAAATGGCTCATGCCCAGTGCCCCGTGCAGCAGCCACTCGCAGCCTGCATGGGGCTACCTGTGCCTGCTCAGGACAGCCCTGCGTGCGCTGCAAGTGGCTGCAGCAGGGAGCTCTGGGCATGGGGAGAGGGAGGGGCTGCTTTTCCCCGCGCTCTGCACCAGCTTGTCTCCTGCCTTCCCCCCCCCCGCCTACCTGCGCCAGTGCAGCCACATGGTCACCGGCCGGAAGCCCCTGCTGGGGCTTCTGACTGGGGAAGCTGGGCCAGGTGGGCCCTGCTGTTGAAGGAGCCCTCCAGGGCTTCCCCTGGGTTCTACTGCATTTGGTTCCTGTCATCTTTGACAGGAACCAAGGACAGATAAATTTTAATTTTCTAAATATTTTTAGGGGCCCCATGGGCTGGATAGATTGGTCTCGTGGGCTGGATCCAGCCTGCGGGCCGTATTTTGCCCACCCCTGTCATATACACACTGGAGATCTGTCCAGCTCCCAGATCAGTATGATGTCCTTCATGCTAGTCATTGAAATTTTATACAACCTTCTATGCTTCACAATGGTAAGCCTCCTCTTGTCTGTTTTAAAATCAGCAACAGAAGTGAATATCATGCTGCATAAAATGCAGTCAACATGACTGAAGAGAGCCATTCTCCTTTTAAAGTCCATATGAGAAATATTTAGGTTTAAAATGCTTCAGGTGACCAGAGATTATGGCTATCACCTATCTGTGATGCAGAATGCAGAGGTCACAAGTGCATAGCTTATTTATATGGAGTTTTACAGGTCTCCCAGTTTCAGGGATAGTTAAGGTTGTTTGGGAGAGCTCTTTAATCTTTTTTTTATACAATTCAACTTTTTAATAAAATATTTATTTCAGTAATAAAACTGAAAAAATGGGAATGTATACTATTTTTAATAATGTTCTTTTCATTCCTCCCTTGCCTTCCAAGTTATGAATATATATTTAGATCCTTTGTTCCAACACAATTAAGTGTTTTGTCCAGTAATGCTAATTAGAATTCAGTAATTTCTAGTGATGCCATCAGAACAACAAATCTTAAGAAACTGTGTGGAGGCAGGCATATTCCTGCTTCATTTCAGAGCCACTCACAGCATTCAGAATGACCTCCTTCCGGGCACTGTGAATTCCTTGATGTTAGCAATTTGAAATTGCAAAAGTGACATCAAAGCAACTGTAAGGGTCTGAATTTAATACATTCTAATTTAATGTATTCTTTGCAATATTTAGGCACAATAGCATACATTTTTGGAAGTGCACTGTAGTTAGGGTACACCCACTGTGCCTTGTTAGCTGAGGATGTATGGGATATTTCTACTCTAACTTTGGATTTCTTTGCTTTTATGAGTTTAATCTAGGCCCCAGGGCTACATGTACAATGAAGATTAGACACGTTAACATTCATTACTGTTAACAGTAGTTGCACCCACAACCACTGTGATTAACACAGAAAATTAGCTTTTTCAAGTTTCCTTTCTGATTGCTTGTATGAGTTAAAAAGCACTTTAACTGGAATGTTCTGTATACAACCAACACTTATTAATTTGTGTATGCTGGGCTCAATCCAGAATGGGACCCACCTTTTTGGCACTGATCTAGCAAAACACATTGTGTGAGTAGACCTGTTCCATGCCTAAAGATAAGCAGGTCTTTAAGTGCTCAGTTTGACTAAGGCCAATTTAGCCATAATGCCTTAATTCTGATAGCTCCTGATATTTGAGTGCTCAAATTTGAATAATAGAATTTGAAGTTTAATGTTTTTCCTGCCTTATATGTATGCACATATATACACACATGCACATGCACATAACATAATTTCACATGCATATAAATCCAATATATATGGGTTTGCCTTTGCTGAGGGGAATGTAGAATGGGTTCTTGGATGCTATCAATTATTTTCTAATTTAGGGGATTAGAAGTAATTGTTGTTTTTTTTTTTACAGAGTTGTATTTTTAATTTATAACATAGATGCTGAGAGCCTAAGACAGGTGTTTTTATGTATTATAAATCAAAAGAAACATTGTGTATGTAATACACACATACAGAGAGACAGATCCATCTTCACTGTTTCCTTGCTAAAGGAAAACTAAAGTACATTTGAAACCAATCAGTTCTCTTTTTATTGCATATACTCCTGAAGCAAAGAAGTGCCCAGGCAGATTTTGCTCAAATGTTGCAAATAAACACATCCTTTGTTTGACAACCTGCAAAACAACTTTTAATTTATAGCACCACAGTTTCAAGGATAAAAAATAATAATGAAAACTACATGCTTTCAGACCCAGAGCTGCAGAACTAAGTAATATTGCCAATATGGGCACTTGGTTTCTGATTCAGCCTATCAGGCTAGGGACAGACATTCAAAAAGCCAGCCTGAATTGATTCAGTCTTTGCAGGTTAGGCCCTGGCAGACTTGAGTAAGACTGAGGAGGGGTTTAAACCCCCACATTGGTCTGTGGGGTTTGGAGGGCAGGGGAAGAAGTAGTGCAGCAAGACCCCTGTGGCTGGGGGGCAGGGAACAAGGAGGAAGAGGTGGAGGGGAGAGCTCTGCCCACCTAAGTAGCTCCCACACTACCAGGAGCAATCCTGGCACAGAGTGCTGCCCAGCCCTAGAGGGGGACTCTTCCCCCTCCTTCCTGTCCCCCATGGCCGCAGGGTGGGGAGGGGGGGCTCTGTGTGGTGCTGGAGGGGGACTCTTCTTTCTCCTCCTCCCTTGCCCCCATCCCTGCCCCCCACTCCATGTGGGGCTGCCTGACCTGGCCCAGCCTGCGTGCAGGGAGCGGCTGTCACTGAGCCACAGCCTCTGGGGGTGGCCCTGCCCCTGTGGCCCGGCTTGGCCCAGTTGAGCCCTGGCCGAGGCAGGGAAGAGGAGGGGCTGCTCTGCCCTGGCTGCAGTCCCCCAGTGTGGGGGTGGGAATTAACTCCCTCCTTGCCCCCTTAGCTTTAATGGGGCCATGCTGGGACACCTGTGGTCCCTGCTGGTGAAACAGGGAAGGGAGGGCGGGAATAAACCCCCTCCTGGGCAGTCTGACAGAGGCTGCTGCCCTTCCTCATCCTCTCACTGCTCCAGCAATGTGACAAGGCCAGATGCTGTGTTAGCATGGACCTGTTAAGGTGAAGGGAGCAGGGATGGAGATAATTCCTCCCTCTGTCCCTTCTGCCCCAGGGACCGAAGCCAGGGTCTTCCAACCTGGACTGCCTCCTCCCCTTGGCAAACAGGCAGACCCCAGCTGTGGTGGGGGAAGGGAACGAGGGAAAAATTAACCCTGTCCCTGCCCCCTTTGCTTTAACGGGGCCATGCCAGCTGGTGTCTCGCCATGTCCCCACCCCTGTTCAGGCTAGAGAGCAGGGGGCAGGGCCAGCCCTGCTTTGTTGGAGCAGAGAGTCCTATCCAGAGAGCATACTGGGATGCCGGTGGACTCTTGTTTAACTTAAACCAGGAAGGGGTATGGGACAAACATTGCATAAACCAGTTGAAGCTCAGTTCAATTCTACTACATTCAACCAGGTTTATCTCAAACTGGTTTTGGCCATTTTGAAACTGGTTTATACGCACTGAGCGTATGCTCTGTTACAGGTTTAAACTAGTTTCTGATAACTTAAACAGTTTGTGTGTAAAGCCTTTCCCTAGCATCTGAGACTTACACATCTAGCCACATGCTGCACTGAAAAGGAATGGGGTTGAAGTCAAGCATGCTCTGAGTCATACTGCTGCACCATGGCTAGGTTTGGGGTGGGAAGTTTCTTGATTCATACTGGAACAAGATATGTCCCTTTGTGAATGTAGCCATCAGACTTTGATGGCAGTCACAGACACAGAGCTAAATAAGAAGACAGCCACTGTCAGTGGGAAGAACAGACCTAGACAGGATGGCAAATTGGGTGGACTGGAACCAGCTGAAGGTCAACATTGAGAAATGTAAAGTGCTCCACCTGGGGCCGAATAATCCCCTACACACCTACACGTTTGGCAACACCAGTCTGACCAGCACTACTAATGAAAGGGACCTGGGGGTAATAATAGACCACAGTATGAACATAAGCCGGCAGTGCAGCACTGTTGCCAACAGGGCAAATAATACTCTGGCATATATCAATCAATGCATCTCCAGCAAAACCAAATTTGGTGAGACTGCAGCTGCAGTACTGTGTCCAATTCTGGGTGCTGCACTTTAGCAAGAACAGGGAAAAGCTTGAGAGAGTCCAGAGAAAGGCCACCCGCATGATCAGAGACTTGAACAGCAAGCCATACAAGGAAAGGCTGAGGGACCTGGGACTCTTCAGCTTGAAAAAGAGAAGGCTGAGAAGAGACTTGGGGGACTACATCAAGGGCTCGGCGAACAACCATTCACCAGGGCACCCTTGGGGAAAACCAGGAATAATGGTCACAAACTCCCAGAAGACCATTTCAGGCTCAACATTAGGAAACATTTCTTCACAGCTAGGGTGTCCAGACTGTGCAATAAGCTTCCTTCAGAGGTGGTGTAATTGCCTACCCTTGAAATCTTCAAGAGGAGACTGGATGATCACTTTACTGGGGTCACTTGACCCCAGTTGTCTTTCCTGCTGGGTACGGGGGGGGCTAGACTTGATGATCTTATGAGGTCCCTTCCAGCCTCACAATCTATGAATCTATGAATATGAATCTATGAATTAATCTAAAACATCACCTTGCCATGCATGAGAAGGCGTATGGTGAGCGTGACATTGAGGCCTCCTTCAGTCACTTTTGTGTCTTTCGTGTTCATCCTGCCACGTCTTTTCAACACTTGGAAGCAGTTTGGTATTTTTTCACTTAATAAACCTGCAGAAAGATAAAAAAAAGGCACCATTGAGTGGCTGAATTTCTAAGCTGAAAATACCATGTTTCACATGTTTACAATTACCATCCATCCCTTTGATTTTTCCCAAATATGGTTTAGCACTCAAAAAGCTGCTTGGATTATGTTTTTTTTTCTGGGTCTTAAGTATCTCATCAAGTGGGTGATAAACATCCTTTTTTGAGGCTTTATGTGTTCTGAACTTGAGAGTTAAAACAACACACCAGAACCTGTGGCAACAAAGTAAAACTCGCTTCTTTACATGGTTACAGGCATATTGTTTATGCATATGAGAGTGTGTATATGTGTGCATGAGAATTCCAACCTTATTTTTAAACTCTATGTTATGTCATTTTCTTCAATATTGGAGAACAGAGACAATCCTATTTCCCTTCCTCCCTTTCTCCAAGGCTAGAGACAGATATTGCCTGACCCTGAATTGATTCAACCTTTGTAGGTTAGTCTAACCTGCCTAGGTTGAACTGGTTTGCAACTGCATAGACATTCCCTCTGGACTGAAGAAATGCAGCCCACCCTTCCCTTCCACTATGCTGAGCTGAGGGGGAATGTGGCCAGGCCCTGGCAAGACCTCTGATTAGGGAGGGGTGTAAACCCCCACCTTGCCTGCACCATCCCAGGCTTTTCCCCACTCAGTGCTCAAGCGGTGGAAGTGCTGCCAGACCTCAGCCACCAGGTAGCACTCTGAGACAAATGGGGTATATGCAGTGCATGCATCTGTTGAGGATAGTGAACTTTTCAATCTCCTTCTCCCTGTTTCTTCATACTGTCTGCAAATCTAACAGGTGAGGGAGCCAGAAGGGGGCTGATAACACAGCGTTTATCAGCCCATCAACAAAACAAAAGCCTCTCTCATTAGTTCAAGCTCTTCTTAAACAGCTTTTTCCAAGGAAAGAATGGAGGGACATTAGCATCTGACTTATTGATTAGCTCCAAAAAGCCCTACGCTGACACTTTCTGCCTGCCCGTCCCAGTGAAATTAGAGACACACACACAGAGACATCTCTCAGCATTAGCTAGCATACCACATGCCTAGGGTCCATGGGGCTGGGGTCTGTGCTGTGGGAGATGGGAGGGAGGGAGAGGAATTCCTACTTGAGCAGGAAGCAACGAATGGGGCAGGGGGAAGCAAGGCAGACCCTGTTGTGCCTGCAGTCTCTGCCAGAGCTCTGGCTAGGAAGGAGAGGGGTGGGGTCAGTCCTGTTCTCTGGAGCAGACAGAACTGCCCAGAACTGCAAAGCATCTGTCTGTCCCAGCATCTGGGATGCTGGGAGACTCTGACTTAACTTAAACCAGGAAGGGGTCTGGGACAGACAGTACATAAACTGGTTTGACCCAGATCAGTTAAGTATGATACTACATTCAACAAACCATTTTCAGCCACTTTGAAACTGGTTTATGTGCACTCAATTTATGTTCTGTTACAGGTTTAAACCAGTTTCTGATCATTTAAACTAGTTTATCTGTAATGTCTGTCCCTAGCACATCTGTTACCTTTTTGCTCCTGCAGGAGATAATTTTATTTTCTCTCCAGTTACTTCAGTCCTGACCCTAACCACATATCCCTACCATCAACAGCAGTTGACACATAATCAAAGACATGCGAGTAACCAAGAGCCACTTGCTACTGTAAATCTGGGCGCTGTCAATTTTGTTTTTGTCTAGGAAGCCCAGAGATGGCTCAGTCTTTCAAAGGCCAAAGCTCAATCTCTGCCTTAAATGGAAAAATGTTTCTTAATTCCTGATGACAAATTACAGACTTGCAGTAATTTATAAAGTCATAAATATCCTGAAATACTAATGCAAGCTGCAAGGACTGGCTCTGAAGGGGTAAACAAGGTCTATTATGAGTTTCTTCATGCAAGGATATTGATCATTACATATGAAGAAGAGGGAAGGGGGCAACATCACCAGAGGCAGCCAACTCTCAAAGCAGAGCAGGCTCAAAGCTTCCTTGCAGACTCTTTAGTTATTTTTGTCCTTTTCAGGCCTATCTGAAAGTAGACAGGAGCCCTGAAGTCGCACTCAGAGCAATGACAAAAAACAAAAGAAAAAAGAAAAAAGAAAAAAAGAAAACTCACAAACAAAGCATGGCTCACTTCTTGCAATGAAGGTGCAATATTAAGGGTAATGTCATTCATCTCTATAGTAGCGAGAAGAGAAACTGTATGGCCAGACTGTTCAGACCAACTGTTTTTGGGTGGTCTGACCAGACTGAAGAGGCTAATGCACATCCTTAAGGGACCGCTATGCCAGGCAGGGAGTGGTCCAGTTGCCATAGATGCTGTCTCACCAGCGGTAGAGTGTATATAACATGGGAGTGGATGTACCTCCTGGGTCATCAATCCACTCTCCTGCTATCACAGGCCACCATGTGTTATCACCAGGGATCCTGGTTTTCTCTCGTTAAAATATATATATCTCTATATATTAGTGGTGTTTCATTGTAATCACAGAAAATGTGGATTTTGGGTTACATTTTAATCCGAAAATTGGGGATTTTTTTATTTCAGAGAAAACCAGGGTCCCCGCTTATCACCTCCTTCATAAATTGATCAAGCACCATTTTAGAAATAATGCATTGGTCTACTCCTACTGGGAGGCTGCTCCAGAACCTTACTGCTTGGGTGGTTAGACACCTTCCTCTGATTTCCAGCCTGGCCAATTTATATTTGGCCATGACCATTGTGGGTCTGGACGGTAGGTCTGAAGATGAAGTAGTTTCCCTAACATTTCAGCAGGAGTAACATTGGTGGTCTTAGGCCTGTAGAAAGTCTGCAACTCAACAATGTAAAAGGCAAGGAGAGAAAGAGAGAGAGGGAATGTGCGTGCCAGAAGAGATACTTTACTCTTTTCCCTTGGGAATTGACTAGTGGTTCCCAAGCACAGAAAATAACTGGCTCTTCTCCGCCCACTTGATTGCTAGGGTTGATTATCCCCAGACGGACTAGCCAAATGACCATTCTGCCCCTTATTGCCACATACTGGCCAAGTGATTGTACTCTGGGAGAGGACTGACCAATAAGCAAGAGCACAGTAGGAACTGTTGTATTTTAACGCTGTTTTCTAAACTATGGCCAAGCGTCTTTATTTTTTTATTATTATTATTATTATTATTATTATTATTATTATTACTGAGGCTCCCTATCTACATACAGTATCTCTGAGTGAGGAGAAAAGCAAAATGAAGTCTAATGAACATGCTACCTAAACTAGGGCACAGAACTTTTTGCTGTACCACTGTTGAATTGTGTTAATGCCTGAAAATCTGGGGGGGTGAAAATAGCCATGTGGACATCTAAAGTAGGGTTGTCTAACTCTCAGTGACCAGGGAGCCAAAGGCCCTGTGCCTCCCTTGACCAGCAGGGGCTGCATATCTCATGGCCATCCCCCCACCTTCCAGTTGGACAGCATAAGAGCTCCCCTGCTTGCTGCACTATGCAGGTCTCCTCCCACTGCTGCACCGTACACCCCTACCCCCCACACTGCACTGCATGTCCACATACCCCACCACACTGTGGCATCCTCAGTAACCCTGGCTGCAACACAGTGAACTGCCCTGCTCCCTGGTATGGGGGCAAACAATGAAAGTCAGAGGAGGGGGGCAGAGCCCAGAGTTTCCAGCTTCTGTTGCAGCCAGAGCAATCTGGGGAGCAGTAGTCAGGCAGGAGACTGGGGACCACAACATAACCCTTTATGGGCTTCATGGAGTCCATGGACTGCCAGTTTGATAGTTGCAGTCTATAGCACAAGCAATATTCTAGTGCTCTTTGTGGGTGTAGGTGCTCCATTTTTAGTAAAGGTCCTGTCTACATCTATGCAAGGAAGAAATCTTCTGTGAAGGTCCAAACTGGTTTATGTATCTGGCTATCCACAGGAGTGATGGGAGGGCACTGCCCCCTTGGTATCTCCTGGAAGATCCTGCCTTCACCTCTGCCCACTCCCACTCTTGCCCAATAAACACAGCAGTAGTTTACCAATAGGAGGCTGGATCGAACCAGACAACTCTCAGGAGCTCATCAAATATACTTAGGAAGATAGACACTGCCCACACAAGTGTCCGTGTTAGCCAGGGCCAAAAAGAGTTATGCAGATGATTAGAGCAAAAAGGCATTTTATTGACATGTGGGCATCCAGTTGATGATCATATCCTTGTCCCTTTTTCTAGATGTGTCAGTTCTAGATGGCTGCAGCAGAGCCTGGCCATCAGGATCTCAATGAACCCACAGCCCAACCTTACTCTCAGGCTCTAAAGAAGATGGTTTGCATGCAGACAGCCCGCTGCTGGCATGTTTGATGCCCCAGGGAAGAGAGCTGAGCCAGCTTAGAGTAGTAAGTGATGCAGTGCCCCTTGTCATCCCTCAAACTATTTTTTCCTTCAGGGAGCTATGGACAAAGCATGTGAGAGAGCTAATTGGGAAAGGGCTCTTTGAGAACATCCCCCAATTAAGAGTGACTGCTTGTGGGAAGAATTGCAGCAGTGGCTCAGCTCTGTGGACGATTGGTGGAATCCATCTAAAAGAAATGGCGGGATGGGAGACACTGGGCTTGGTTTCATCTCCTTGAGTAGAGGCAGGCTGTGATGGTGAACCCTGACTGGTGAGCTGCCATTTGACATGTGATGCCTTACCTAAGTCTGACAGCCTCCATCAGTTACCATGCCAGAAGCCAGTGGTGCTGGCAGGGGCAATGCCTCAGTGAGAAGACCTAGGAGGCTCAGAGTCCTGGCCCAGAGCTCCTTCTCCCACCTTTCCTCTTCCTACTCCTCTCAAGATAGTCACCTTGCTCAGTAGCCCATTGCCTTTCCACCACAGCTGTCCTCAGGCTTCCCTCACATTTTCCTACTCCTGGCTGGCTAGGTGAACCCCCTGTTCCTATTTCCTGTTTGCTTCTCCAGTGTGTCACTAGCCTTTTATTCTGCTTGCAGTTCTGGGGCAAGCCTCTGCAGTGCTATCTCAAGTAGTTC